CAACCTGTTCAGTGTGAATGAGCATCAGACGTACAAGTTAGAACAAGGAAGAAAGCAATAAGCTGAGAGCTTGCTTAATTGTGTGCTTTGGGGAATTCTGTAAATCCTCCAATTCTTAGAATGATTGGAAACAGCTGGCCAAGCAAACTACAGTTGGCAGGGAGTTACAATTAACTCCTCTTCCCAATTCCCAGGGCTTATGGACGGGGGGGGGGGGGGGGGGGGGGGGGGGGGGGGGGGGGGGGGGGGGCTGTGGGAGATGCGGATCTGCTTCCTGGGTCCATAAGCCATTGCGTTTCATTCATTTCCTTGCAAAGGTCTCAGAAATTTGGCCCAATCTCTGCCCTCTCTCCTGTTCCTCATCTGTAACAAAATGAACACTGTAGACAAAAAGCATTTTGTTTGCTTTTAAACCTCTTCAGATGGTAGGATGCTGAAAGAACACCCACAGAAACGGGAATTGTAGTGGGACTGAGCTTGGGCGGATAGTGTTAAGACGTACCTTAGTCCTAAAATATCATCATATAAATGTATAATACAAACACCAATTCCTCAATAGCCATCTATTAAGATAAAACAGCACAGGCTAAGAAATGGCTCCGTAGGGAAAGTGCTTGCTGCACAGACAAGCGGATGTGAGTTCAGATCTCCGATACTCAGCTGAAAACCCGCACACAAGTCTGGAAGACCTGGGACATTTGGAGAAGCAGATTCCTTAAATTCATGGAAAGTGGGTCTGGTCAGTTCAGTGGGAGAGCTTCCTCAAAAATGAGTGGAGAGTGATTGAGAAAGACACTTGACATTGACTACTAGTGTCCACACTTGGACACATGACAGGAGTATTTACAAACACATACATGTGCGAATACACTTACATTACATACCTGCACACACACAAATGAATGGATGAATGAATGAATGAATAAATGAATGAATGAATAAAAGGACAAACACAAACATTTCCACATCCATGAAAGGCAAAGTTGTCACAGGGGTTTTGAAGGCTATACATGATGGCACCCCAGCCAACTCCCCCCACCTTTGTCCCCCACCTCTGGCAGTGATTTTGCAAACCAAGAGCAGAAGAAATGTAAATTGCAACAGTAAACCCCAAATTATTACAGGGAAAGACTGCCAAACCACACCAGGATGTGAATCACAGCTTAGGGCTTTTCACACCAGTTTGCTCGAGGCCCTGTCTTCTTAAGTGGGTTGATTGTGATATAAACCGCATGTCATAAAACAGCCATTTCAGCTGCTCAGTTCAGTGGATTTTAGTTTTCTAAGAAGTATGGTTTAATAATCCCATTGTCTAATTAATTAAATTCCCAGGTATTTTTTTTTATTACTCTCCAAACAAATCCTATCCCATTAGCAGTCAATCCTCATTTCTTTCTTACCCTAGTCTCTGTAACCAATGATATGCTCTCTTTATCTATGGCCCCACCTCTTCTGGGCATTTCACAGAGATGGAATCAAGGCAATATGTGAGCTTCTCAAGGGCCTTCCCTGTGTAGCATGGGCTAGCACTTTGTCCCCTTTTTACTGCCAAATACCTACTACATGAATATACCATCTGCAGCTTTCTGTTCATCAAATTGATGGGCATTTGGGTAGTTTCCAAGTTTCATTGTATGAACAATATTGCCACGCATGTACAAAGACAGGTCCTCAGACATGCATGTTTCTGTTCTCTTACGTGTTGTACTTAGGAGTAGGAGTGCTGGGTTGTATGGTAGCCCTAACTGTAGCCGGTTGAGGATTTCCCAGGTTATTATCATGTAGCACTTCTTAAACTAGGGTTATCTCATTGATGAGAGTCAAATGTTAACACTTCCTGGGTGTTTGTGCCAGGAACCACTGTATTGCTTTGTGTGGGATCTGGGCAGTCCTTTTAATAACGTTATGATGGAGAAGTTATGGTCAGGTCTCCATTTCTGTGTGTTCTACAACAGTATTTTTTAACCAAATAGAGATTAAAAATATTTAAAAACTGCATTTGTACTGAACATGTACAGAAGTTTTCCCTGATCCCTCAATTATTCCCTAAACAATGCAGAATGACAACTGTCTATATAAGTGTTTACATGGCGATAGGTGTCTATAAATACTTTTGACAGCATTTAAAGTATATGGAAGGACCCAGTTGATTAGGTTATATACAAATACTATGCATTTTACAAAGATTTGAACATTTATAAATTTTGGTATTCATCAGGGCTTCAGGAACGAGTCTCCCATGGAATCTCTTGGACAGATGTATTAGTTATTGCCTCAACTGACAGATGACAAAAATCAGGAATGCTGATGCTGGATACCTCTATCCACGTCACAGATCAACAATGTGCAGCAGCTAAAAGTCGGAAACGTTAACAAACTGGGACCTGTGTCAAGCGTTGTCTTTACATCAAGTATCACTTGCAAAAAGCAAGCAACATAGGTAATGCTGCTGGAATCAGTATGTTCTGTAAACAGGTCTTAATGATTGAGAGAATTCTAGTTTTCACAAACCAGTCCGGTAATGACTCTTGTAATTCAGCATCCTGAAAATAATCTTCCCACATTTGCAAAAATTATAAATTTCAAACTTTGAAATATTTTATAACTTGAAATGGGCAAAGTTGGTTTACAATAAAAAGAGTGATTAAGAAAAGTTTAAAATTTTCTCAGTGTAAATACTATATATAATCAATGGATATCAACATAAACACCATTTTTTTCTTTCAGATAATATTCTTAGATATGGACATAAATCATTTTTAAAGCTCAGAAATGCATGCAAATCAAGTGGGTCAATTAGTCAGAATAAACTCTCACACTCATTCAGTTTCAATCTTAAGAAATGGGACTGAACATCTTATACACAAAATGTTTTGTTATTATAAAAATTAAGTAATTAAGCCAAAATTGATCTGAACATACACACACACACACACATATTTGTTTACAGAGGTTTTTCTTTTGTTGGCAAACTTCTTGTATATTTTGTTTGAATTAATACTTTTTTATTTTTATCCAATTATTCGACTTGTCTTCTGCATGTAATTAAATGACAGACACTAACAGGTAACATTTGGACCCTTACAGAAATTGTTTAAACACTTTTTTTTAGTATTTTTATTTATTACTATTATCCTTAAAATTTTTGTCATGTATAGAGTGTGTGTGTTTATGTGTACTTATGTGTGCCACAGCACATGTAGATAGAGGTCAGAGGCCAGACCACTTTTCAGAGTCTGTTCTCCCATTTTACTATGTGGGTTCAGGGGACTAAACTAAAGCCATTAGGCTTGCTGGCAAGAGTCTTTACCCACTAAGTCATCTCATGTTTTTAAATATAATGCATGACATATTAGATAGGGTTTTATTGCTGTGAAGAGATACCATGGCCATGGCAACTCTTATAAAGGAAAGCATATAGTGGAGGCTGGCTCTTAACCCAGAGGTTTAGTCCATTATTGTCATGGTGGAAAACAGGGGAGCAAGCAGGCAGACATGGTGCTGAAGAAGTAGCCAAGAGTTCTGCATCAGGATTGGCAGGCAGCAAGAATAGAGAGTGACACTGGGCCTGCCTTGAGAATTTGAAACCTCAAAGCCCATCCCAGTGACACACTTCCTTTAACAAGGCCACACCTCCTAATGATGTCACTCCCTATGAGCCTATGGGGGTCATTTTTGTTCAAACTGGCACACATGGTAATAAACATTTCATTAGCATTCCTAAGAATCATAATCTCCACCTTACAGGAAAGATGCCACGGAAATTCAATGCACTAACCATTGTGGAAAAACCTGAACAGTGCCCTTTAAGTTACTAGTGTATTAAAAAGCTGCTGAAATTATTATTTCTGACACATGCTCTAACAATTTGCCTTTCGCCAGTTTTATCTGGAGTCAGTGTATGCAGGTGTGGTAAAGGGCATGGGAAACTGGAGACACTGGCTTCATGGAGAAATCCTGTTTGAGATAAATCTTAGAGGAGGACCAGGTGTGTACCAGGCTGGGAGCTTGGCAGTAGGTGTAGCCTGGACTGTGCATGGATGGAGATGTTCCAAATAGAGGCCCTAATAGATAGAAGGGATGGCTTCCTAGGGGCTGAAGCTTATTAGACATGGCAGTTTAGGGCCGGAGAGAACATTCGACCAGAAAAAAAAAAAAGGCTGAAGATGTAAAGGAGAACAAAGCATGCAGACACAGCCATCCTAGGAATGGGCAGAAGCAGTCAGGCATCCTGCTGAAGGATGGTGGACCACAGGAACAAGGTATGTATGATAAGGGGAAGAGGCACTTGCAAGACCCTCAGAGCTCTTGTTCAAAGTGACATGTTGGCATTGACGTCATGTCAAGGCCCCAATCTCCTTTTACGTATTTTTAAGAGAAGTTAGGATGAGATGATTTATATGTGTATATTAAAGGTTAGAAGTATATGTACACAATGCTAAAATAATTAGCTAAATACAATGCTAAATACAAATTTCCAGGCCACTCTGAAGGCTTGACTGGGGCCTGAAACACAGCTGAGGGCCTCTGGGTATGCTATCTGGATTGGGCACGGTTCTCCGTCACACTTATGTGGAAGGTCACGGAAGGCACATGCTTGCGCATCAGCTCAGGGTTAGCTCTTTAGCGTGCGCTCACCGTTGATGCTAAAGAGAATGGGCTCTTATTCTGAAATGTCTAGAAATTCTTCTGGTGCTGGTGTATGCCATGTCTTTCGCCATCCACAGGAACTAACTAGAACAAACTAACTGCAACTAACTGGAAGGGCCAGAATAGTACAAGGAAGCAGCCTTGGCTTCCTGCCTGGAGAGTCCTGGCTTCCACTACACCACTTTTCCGTCATAGGCCCTCCCCCGCTACATCATGTTTGCTCTCTAACTTGTTTTCCTTGGTCAGTCATTTCAACTAGATGCCAAGAATGATTTCGTCAGAGTTTACAACAGGAATGAAAGAAAACAAAACAAGATGCCTCCCTTTAGGAAGCGGGGCAGTCACAAGAACTTTTGGAGCACATAGAGATGGTGCGCCTTGGATTCTTGAGTGCTGAAATACATGTGGGGCTGAAGTATATGGGGAGCAGTAGTGGGCAAGCCATGGTCTTAGGTAAGATACAAGATCTCTGGGTACAAGGGTGGAGTATGATGTCTTTGAGTCTCAAATGAAGAACCAGAGTCTTCTTGAGGAAGCTTTGGCCTTTATCTGATGGAATGGTCAAATGATATTCAAGTGGTTTGTTTTGTTTGGTTTGGTTTGGTTTTCATCCTTCTCCCCACTTTTCTGAGAGATGTCAGGATCTCATGCATCTTAGGCTCATGGGAGGATGTGAGCTTGAACTTCTGATCCTCCTGCTTCTACTTCCTGGGTCCTGGGATGACAGATGTGTGCCACCATGCCTGGGTTGTGGAGTCCTAGGGAGTGAACTCAGGGGTTTATGCATGCTGCAAACTCCTGTATGTGTGTAAATATCACCAGTGGACCCAACTATTTTAATCTCTGAAAACTTCCCAGCCTGTGGCTCTCCACACTTTCCTGTGCAGGCCAGGAGAGAGGACTTCTGTGGGAAACTGAGACCCACATGCCCCCAGCACAATACTCTGTGGACAGGAGCCAGATAGTCTTGTTCAGCTCAGTTCAGTCTTAGACTGTGCGTCTCATCTGCAGAGGGGAAAGAGCCCCGTTGAGGGGGGTACTGGTTCTGTAAGGCAACATGAATCAAGTACGTGGGCTTGCATCTAGCTCATGGGAAGTATTCAGTAAGTAGTAACTATTGGTATTTTTTATTTTAAAGATGTTTACATTTATTTATTTGCACTCTTTCCCTATGTGTGTATGCACATGCATGTGTGTGTGTGTGTGTGTATGCCTGTGCATGCACATGTGCATGCATTTGTGAAGATCAGACAACAACTTATAGAATGAGGTCTCCTTCCACTGTGTAAGTTCTGGGGAAGAGACTCTGGTCATTGGGCCCAGTGATAAGCATTCCTTACCTGCCGAGCAATCTTGCTGGCCTAATAGTATTTTTCGATGGTATTAGGATTAATTAGGATTCATGCAGGCGAAGTCACACATATTTGATGTGCATATTTGCTGAGTCTAGACATAGGCATCACCTGGGAAGGCATCATGACATGAAGACAATGAACTAAACCTTCCCCTCTGAAATGGTGCTCTTATACCTTCTTACACCTTGGTAATCAGCCTCAACTTTCACTCATCTCCAGATCTTCTCTCCAGATAGCCTAATTTCTTTTCTTTTCTTTTCTTTTCTTTTCTTTTCTTTTCTTTTCTTTTCTTTTCTTTTCTTTTCTTTTCTTTTCTTTTCTTTTCTCTCTTCTTCTTCTTCTTCTTCTTCTTCTTCTTCTTCTTCTTCTTCTTCTTCTTCTTCTTCTTCTTCTTCTTCTTCTTCTTCTTCTTCTTCTTCTTCTTCTTCTTCTTCTTCTTCTTCTTCGAGACAGGGTTTCTCTGTAGTTTTGGAGCCTGTCCTGGAACTCCCTGTGTAGACCAGGCTGGCAGAGATCTGCCTGCCTCTGCCTCCTGAGTGCTGGGATTAAAGGCATGCGCCACCACTGCCTGGTGCTAATCTTTCTGCTACCGGAGTAAATTTACATTTTTAAACTTTTATGTAAAGGAAATCATGCATATACCATGAGCCATTCACGTAGCTGGGTTTATTAGTAAAATGATTATTATTTTTTTTCATGTAGAAGAATATTCTACTTTATAGATATAGCACATTTTTCTATTTTCCTGTTGGGGATATTTGTGTTGTTCCAATTTGGTGTCATTATAAATAAAGCTGCTATGTGTACACAGGCTTTCATTTCTCTCAGGTAATTTAGATTGTTTCATTTTATTTTCCAGATGGGGATTTCTGTCTTAGTCATGATCTCTATTGCTGTAATAAAAGAAAGCAAGTTGGGGAGGAAAGGATTTATTTCAGCTTACAGTTCCACATCACCATCCATCACTGACAGAAGTCAGGTCAAGAGGTCAAGGTGGGAACCTGATGGCAGGAGCTGATGCACAGACCATGGAGGAATGCTGCTTACTAGCTTGCTCCTCACAGCTTGCTCAGCCTGCTTCCTTAGAGCACCCAGGGCCACCAGCCCAGGGATGGTAACCCCTACAGTGAACTGGGCCCTTGCATACCAATCATCAATTAAGAAAATGGGGCTGGAGAGATGGCTCAGTGGTTAAGAGCATTGACTGTTCTTCCTGAGGACCTGAGTTCAATTCCCAGCAACCACATGGTGGCTCACAACCATCTGTAATGAGATCTGGTGCCCTCTTCTGGCCTGCAGGCATACATGGAGGCAGAATGTTGTATACATAATAAATAAATAAATAAATAAATAAATAAATAAATAAATAAAATCTTTTGGTGGGGATGTTCTCTCAGCTAAGGTTCCCTCTTTTCAAATAACTCTAGCATGTGTCAAGTTGACATCAAACCAGCCATCATAGGGCCTCATTCTGTAGCCAAGTTGGTGTCAAACTCACTATCCCTTTGGGTAAATATTAAAGAGTAGAGTACTTGGGTCAAAAAAATAGGTGCCTTTGTGACTTTTATTTTCTATAATGCTCACACTGTTTTACATTCCTGCCAAAAGTGTATGAGAATCCCAGTTATTTGCTCTTTCATCTGTTATGAGACATGGACTCTCTGTGTAGCTCCTTCTGGCTTGGGACTTACTATAAACTGTTTTCCAAGGCAACTGTACCACCTTACCTTCTTACCAGCAGTGTGCGAGAGTCCAAAGTCATTCTGTTCTTCATCAACATTTGCTATTGTCAAAAACATAACGGCTATTCTTCTTGTAGGTTTAAAGCAGTACTACTTCATTGTCACCACAGGTGTCCCTTTGAAGAGCAAGTGCTTTCTTAAGAACTTTTAAATGTTTTGTTCTTTCCTCTTTTATGGTGTGTGTGTGTGTGTGTGTGTGTGTGTGCGTGCGTGCGTGCGTGTGCGCGCTGTATTTAAGGAACCTGACTGTGCAGACAGCAAAGCTGGAGGGGTGGAGCCATCTGAACCCACTGATAGTGCACACGGAGCTGCAGGATTTGCTATTTACCCTACTGAGTTTGGCTTTGCTTTGGTCCAGTGTTGATTGACTATGACCCCATTCTTCTTTCCTTTTGGAATGATAATGTATATTCTGCATCATTTGTATGTTGGGAGTTTATAATTGCTAGCTTTTTTTTTTTTTATTTTACAGGGATTTACAATTAAGAGATTGCCTTGAGTATCAGAAGAGACGTTGGGCCTTTCCTTTGCTGTGACAAAAGCATCACAATCAAGGCAGCTTACAGGAGAAAGAAGTTTGTAGTTTTGTTTTTCCCCCCATTATTTACATAGAGCGGCGAGCTGTTCTCGAACCCTGGACCTGGGGAACAGCGGTCGGGACTCTTAGCCTCTGCGCCACCTGTGTGGCTATATAGCTTTGGTTTTTGTTGTTGCTCAGCTACCCTGGACTGTAACTATGAGTTCTCTGCAGGCGATCTTTTGGCCACTGCAGGGCTCATTTCACTTCTTTTCTTTCCATTGGAGTTTGTTCTCCTGCCCTGTGTGTTGTCCAGTAGGAAACTACTGTTTCATCACTTGCTGTTGTTCTTGGCTGTGTAAGATGGGAGAGCAAGCCTAGCCACTGCTATCCTATCATGAGTGCAAGTAGAATTTCTAATAGCATTATTGTTTAAGTATTTGCCAATCTGGTTTATAGTGTAGAGCACCTATCCTGGGGCTGGGGTTGTAGCTCTACTGCTTGAGTGTCACATGACAGAATGACGAAAGAGATTTTCCTTTGGCATGGTTTCGATCAACAGCTTCTCTGTTGTGTGTGTCTGATCTATTGCTGCTGTTTGTCTGTCTTGCTATCCCTAACAAGAGTGTTGCTCTGTGCTTATTGAACAGTCCAAAAAATGTGGTATGGGAAGAAAATGAGAATTTTTTATTTTAATTTTTAATTTTTTTTTTTACAAAACTCTTTAACAGAATTATTCAAGGGAAGAGGTTACCTTACTGATCATCAACTGATACAGAAGAGTACTTAATGAACATGTCGGCAAGGAGGGCTGACTGAGAAGCCAAGGACAATGGCACTGGGTTTTGATCCTATTGCATGTACTGGCTTTGTAGCAGCCTAGACTGTTTGGATGCTCACCTTCCTAGACGTGGATGGAGCGGGAAGGACCTTGGACTTGCCACAGGGCAGGGAACCCTGACTGCTCTTTGGACTGGAGAGGGAGGGGAGAGGGGAGGGGGGAGGAGGATGGAGGGAAAGGGAGGGTAATGGGAGGAGGGGAGGAGGTGAAATTTTTAAGTAAAAATAAATTAAAAAAAGAAGAGTACTTAAATTGCACACAGATGTCATTAAACATATCCACATGTTGCTTCCAATCTTTATGGTGCATGTGCATGTTTGTTGTTTAATATTGCTATCAACCTCTTGGCAGAAATCTTTACTATAACACACATACACACAAGCAGAAGACAAAGTCAGGTTCATTACAATGTCTTCTTCACGGCAGGTTAAAGTTAAGCAGGCTGAGTACACAGTAGTACATCAGATTGATTGCATAGTTCTAAATGATCTCAAGACAGATTATCAACTTGCTTTTAAGGTCTGGCAAAAGTTCAGTCTCTCTTAAGGCTAGAGATATTTTCAGAAAATGACATTACCGCTCTATAATATAATACTTGCTTTATTTTCTTTTCTGTTGCTGTTACAGGACACTGATCAAAAACAACTTGCAAATGAGAGGGTTTGTTGCAGTTTACAGATTCCGGTCTGTCATCAAAGGCCCAATTGCCTAGTGATGGAGCTGCCCACAGTGGGCAGGTCTCTCCTACACCAATTAGCAAATAAGAAAATGTTCCTACAAACATCCCCACAGGCCAATATGATAGAGAGATGTCCTCAGTTGAGGTTCCCTTTTCACAGATATGTCAAATTGACAACTGCTGCTAACCATGACACCTAGCATATATGAACCCTTGACTTCTGTCTCCATGACTCTCACCCCCCACCACCACACAAGCCTATCTTGAGGGCATTGATACACATTGTCATTACCAACACCACCACCCGCTTCCTCTCATAATTAACATCTGGGTGAGTTACTAGTCATTGTGGGTTCTAACAGCCTAAAGCCAAGTGTGTAAGCTCTCGGTCATCTGAACAGTGAAACTCCTTGGTAGTGTGGGCTGTTTGCTCATTCATTCACACAGTTTGATGTGAAGTTAATTTTCCTGGATTGCATTTTGGGTGGCGCCACTTTCTGGCTCAGCGACACGAGGCAAAATAACCTTCCTAGACTCAATTTCTCTTTATGTAAAATGGAGAACAGAGGCCTTGTTGAGGATTGAGACCCCCACGGAAAGGGGCTTCGCATGACAACGAATTCTGTTCCGTGGCAGGACTCTGCTCATTGGAGTCGTCACTGACTCTTTTATCTTTCTTGGTGCCAAGAGCAACATCCTCAGGTCTCCAGCTATCTTCCCAGCCTTTCTATTTGCTCAGTCTCTAAGTACTTGCTACTTAGGTTGACTTCATGGGAAATCTCATCTAGTCTTACGGTCTTAAATTCTATATCTAAACTTATTCTCAAACAATTTCTGTAGCTTGGAACCTGACTTTGAATTCTAGCCCTAAATATTTTGGTTTTCATCAGCATATCCACATAAATGCTTTTCTGTCGGTCCCAGCTCATTTCCCGTGCTTCCCAGATCTCTCCTGTATTGCAGTGGGCATAGGGTCCACCCTGCGTATGCGGTATTTCGTAAATACTGTGATACCCAGCTTCAGCCTGCTTTTCATCAACAGGAAGGTTTCCAGATGCCAGGGCAGAGAGAAATGAAAAGTCCGACATTTCTAATCCTTCTGTTGTTTTCAGGACTCTGTGGCAGAGGCTGCAGCTGACACTGTCTTCCCCTATTGTACCCCAGCCATTCCCACTGACACTAGTAACCTCTCAGGCACCTAGGCACACCTGGCTCAGCTTTTCAGCGATGCCGTTATGTTTGTAACCAGTTTCTTGTGTTTGGCATAACCCCAGCGATTTCCTTTTCTGATGTGGCCTTACCTGACGGAATTCTTTAAGAGACATTTCAAAATCAACACATCTATTATGTAACAAGCTTGATTCGCTTCTCAGCTCCTGGTACTGCTGTTTTGCTCTCTGAGACAGTGCCCTCCTTGGCTCTTTCCTCCCTCTCCTACTTCAGCTGAGTTCACTGGCGAGTGCTGTTGTTTCTTCATGAGCATCCCCACAGCTGACTGCTCTCTGTCTCCACTGCTATCACTACCATTGTCCAGACCATTGACTCTTGATTGGACTCTTTTTGGAGTCCAATAGTCTCTGATAGTCTCGTCTCCACAGCTGACTTCAGTTACCAGAGTAACCATTCAGTTAACCCTCTTCTATTGAAAAACCTTCACTAACTTGTTTTTGTGGTTAGAAGAAAAAAAAAAGCACCTTGGTCACTGATCCCCAAGCTAACTAGCACCTTCCATTTTATTTATTCTTAGTGTGTTTCTTCCCCTTAGAACAAGAGCAGAGCAGGGGTTTAGGCAGCATGCCCTGCACAGTGGGTACTTCATGTCAGGATCCCCACTAAGTATGTTGGATGACGCTTGTGATTTGTTTTTATTTATAAAACTCATGTGTTCTTAAACTGTAGGTCAGAACCTCACATGGGGTTGTCACAAAAAAATTGCCCCCCCCCCAAAATGCTCCCGAATGTGCAGTGAAAGAGAAGCCAAAATCAAGCACGTAGCAATGTGGATGTGTTTCTAGCAGTACTTACTTGTGTTATTTTTCACAATATCACTGTAGTCATGGCTCTGAACGTGCAACATGTGCACTTTGTTCTGTGTGTGCCAGCGTGCATCACAGACAGCCTGGAGTGTCCTCATTCACATTAATGACTACTTGGAACAGTCAACATGTGCACTTTGTTCTGTGTGTGCCAGCGTGCATCACAGACAGCCCGGCACACCCTCGTTCACATTAATGACTACTCTATGCTATGAGTTGCGGTGTTCGTACTGCACGTACAAAGTTTTCTGCTCTTTATATAGTGATAATAGTTAAATTATGGAAGCCAAGGCTTTTAATATTTTCCTGCCATCATTACTCAGCATGTCAGTATAAAATCAGCATACCTCTGGATTCTATTGTGTTACAATGTTTGATTTTAAATGTTATTGTTTGGGTTCCTGACTGGCTTTCATAAAAGTCATAAACTGAAGTTGGGCTTGAGATTAGGACAGAACTTCAGGAATGTTTGAAATGGCTCTAAATATACCTCTGCCAACCTCACTGCGTGTTTATTTATGTGCTGCGGTGGTCTCACTGTGCGACAGATATAACATCAAAATACCAACCCGTCATGAAAACTGGATGCTGCTGAACGGATCCTGTGGTAACAAGTATTCAGTCAAGATTTCTTTATGTAAAAATAAGTACACCTGTTTCTAGTACACAAATTTGTTTCCAAATGGTAAAATTATGCATATATAATTATATATAGAGATATAAATATATGTCTATACATTAACCAAGTAACTGTTTTAAAATAAATTTCTTTGTGATTTATTATCAAAACATGATTGATTTGTGTACCTATTTTGTATACCTATCTATTAGCGGTTGAAAGATAATCTCTGAAATGAAAAGGGGTTCCGAGAGGGAAAAGTTTAGGAGCCCTGTTAAGTGGTTTGTGAACGGGGTACCCTCCAGCTCTGGAGCGGGAGGAAGCTCTGACGTGCTGGCTTGGAGCAGGGCCAGGCTGGGCTGGGCCTTGGGGTAGACAGAAGACGCATGCTCCTTTGAGTCTGCAATGGCTAGGCACACGGCCAGGAGGGGTGGAGTCACCAGGGCACTTCCCGGTAGCTTCGGCCCTCCCACCAGGTCTACAGAGGCTGCAGGCTAGCCAGTCTGCCTGGGCTGTAGTGGGCTCTGCGCCTGGAGACAGAGGTTGGAAGATCGCTCTGGGTGAGTGACGGCCTCTGGTCTGGCCCGGTGCAGGGGGCTCGGGAGCTGGTGTCCTGCGGGTCCCTAGGACGGATAGGGGAGGTTCCATCATGGTCTCTGGCCCCCCAGTTGCTCTGCTCCTGGGCGCGTTCTAACTCTGGTATCTGCCGGTGCTTTGAGGGTGGTGATGCCTTTGGTCTTTTCAAGAAGCAATCTCTCCTTCCCTGAGAGCCCTTCCGCTTCTTGGTCAGGGGCGACCGCGGATCAGGGAACCTGCCCGGAGTTCCTGATCTTGGGGACAGATAGAATGCCTGCTTCTCAGACTTCTTCATCCATTCCTCCCGTTATCTCTCCTAGGAAGTGTTAGCCAAGCACAGGGTCAGCAGCAATCTTGGGCGTGAGTCCTGGTTAAAACCTCAGTATAATTAGCTAGCTCTTTGCTTACAGTATTTGACTGGTGTTATCATGATAACTAACGTTATCATGAAAATGGGCTTACTAGTACTGTCGAGGTGGTAGGAGTAGACTGTAGGAGGCCCTGTTTGCAGGCTGGGCATTGCCAATAGCTTGGTTGTTATTGGAAAACTACATTTGGGCCCTTATTTTCTGCTGTCACTGAATTGCAGAGTTGCCCCAACCCATTTTTCAAAAGCAACACCTGTATGTTTAGTTTGTGCAGGACTTGGCAGAAGCCTGGAGATTCAAAGTTGAATTAGACTTCAGCTCTGCCTTTCCCCCTTTCTGGAAGGCAGACAGGTCTGTATGGATTATTACAGAGCCATAAATAGTGTAATAAAGGTGTTCTAAGAGCCTAGGATATCACAGCAAACCCAGCTCAGAGCCTTATGAGAATTTCTTCTATGAGAATTTCTTGTCAAGTTTATTGAGCCACAGTGTTGTGAGGAAAGAAAATCTAAAAAGTTTAATGGACGATCTTCAGCTTCCTTCTGGAGTGAGTGCCCTTTGCCCGAGACTGCATTCTGTAAAACCAGCTGCTTATTTTAAGCTATGCTGAGAACCTTTAGTTTTTTTTTCACACTCTCCCCTTTCAGGTTTTTTTTTCTTTTTTTGGGGGGGGGTTCTCTAGTGCTGAAGGACCCATGGGACAGTGTCCTTAAGAAGATAACAGGTAGCCTTGGGCTGTCCTACGTAAAGCCACACTGGTAACTAATAGCAGTAGGCTCGCTTGGCCAGCACAAATGCAAACTAATGTCCTTTTATGTCTAGAATGCTGAGATTCACTGATGTTTGGAGAAATAACTTCAGGAGAGGTTGCATCTACTGAAGGGAGTCAGATCTCCTTTGCAATCTTCTGAGAACCAATTTCCAGAAATGTGGAATACTTGATTTAAGAGAGTCTTTATTTATTATTTTCAAACAACAGTACTGAGGTATTAGCATAAACCGGCAGGACCCAGTTTTAACATGTGCAAATACCTGTGAAATTAGTATATTCAGTAGTACAAAGGTAGGCACCACCCCCAAGAGCCGGATGCTGATCTTTGGGGATCGTTGGCCTCCTGCCGGTTCCTCTCAGACACTGATCTGCTTTCTGACAGTATAGACTAGGCTACACTTTCTTCAAGAAATTGTTGCATTGGAACAATAACTTCCCTCTCACCTCTTCCCGTCCCCTGACTTCTTTGATATGGCATAATTTCTTCGAGATCTGTCCATATTGTATGTTCATTGTTGCTTTGGCTCTCCACCCCCACTCTGCCCCCAGCACCCCAGATTTTGTGCATTCATCTTTTAAAACGATTGCATGCATTTTTAAAAGCCTGGATTATAGTCCGAGCATTTCTTCAGCCTTAGTCTGGATGTTGTTAGAGACTTGTGCCACCGGACCCTTAATGTCCCCAGCTCTTGGCTACACTGTAATTTTGAGTCATCATTGGGGTGATCTTGCTTGGTGACTGGAGAGATTCTCTTTTCTTTTTTGTTCACTTGAGGGACAGTTTTGAATCCCAACATAGAGTTTTGGGAAAGAGAAAAACTGCAGACAGTGGCAGGTAAGAACTAATGTGGGCTGAACTTGAAAATATATTTAAATTCCAAGCAGAGGGGATTTCTGCGGCTCTTCCCTTTTCTTATCCTGTCTAAGATCCCCTCCATGTCACTTCTCTAGGGAGAGTTTTTAACTTTGAGAGGAAGTGGTAAGTGGGTGTGCGAGGCAACATGAGTTAAACTCGGGTGGAGGTGTGATGGTTCTGGAGGCTTCTTATTAAAAACAAACCCATGTTTTTCCCTTCCAGGCACAGTTCGAGCCGTTTGTTTCAGATCTGTCTTCCCTGTGGGATTCTATCCACACTTGGTTCAAGATTTTAAAGAGAGCTTTGCTCTGTCAATGCATGTTCATTCAGGCGGCTGCTTTAAACGGAAGAAGATGCAGCTCCTGGGCATGGTGGCCTATGTCATCCTTGTAATCCTGCTTTCTGGGGGACCCATGGGGTCCGTCTCAGCTGTGGACCCTGAGGCAAATATGAATGTGGTGAGTTTCTAAAAGTCACCTACTTTTAAAATGCAACAGTGCCGAGTGTTAATTTCTTAAATAGAGCTGTATGAACTGTAGGAAGCCATAATTCCAATCTCTTTATGGCTCATTATGATTTTCACTTTCCTGAACTGCAGATGTCATTTTTCCCACAAGGACTTCCCCCACCAGCTACCGCTGACACAGCAGCTCCATTAGACTGCTGGACACAATACAGGGCTTACTCCAAATAATGTGGTTTAGTCATTTCATTTTTAAATCGTTTTAAACATTCTTTAAAACTGAGAAAAGGGTGTAAGCCCTTCAGAAGAATGCCTTTGCCGAGTGCTGAACTTGGGCTGAGATTGAGACTGTCTAGGGAACATAACATAATACAGCCGTGAAAATATTAGATGTTAATATTAAAATTAGTAATCTTCAGTAAACAGTGAAACTGGGAAAAGCATGCATGAAAACACAATAGCAAAAAAAAATACGTGTTATTAAAGAAATAGAAGCTTTCAGACAGGCACTGGTTTGACCCAGCTGAAGAATCCGGTGACTGCAGAGACAGAGTAATTCCCAGGAGACAAGATAGAATGGGACGATACAGGACAAGGTTAAGCTTTCTTTTGCCCCCCCCCCCCAACAGTTCCTTCCTAAGAAAATAACGAAATTAAAGTCTTTCAGGTATTTGTGGCAGAGAGGATAATGAACACTTCAGTCTTCCAAGTAACTGGTTTATGCTTTCCCACCAAGCAACACTTTCCATGGAAAAGGAGAAGTGAGTTTGAGGACAGCTTCCCGACTTTCAGCTTTTCTTCAGCCTCACCTTGACGTTCTAACGAATTGCTTCTGGCCCCGGGGATGAAAATGAATTTTCTTTTATTCGTATTTGCTTAGGCCAGGAATTGGATGAAGCATGAAAAATGCTTACAAAAGAAGTGTTTATTTGTACCTGGTAGGCAGGAGAGAAGCAATAAGGCCCCAAATTTGGCGCAGTTGGTATAGAACATGCTACAATTATGAGATGCCTATGAGTCTAGAAGATTGGGTCCTGGGATGGGATCTTGGCTACTAGATCGAGCAGACCCAGGTAGCAATGATTTCCTTTAAAAAGCTAAAAACAAATGGCATCGCGTTTGTCTTCTCCTGTGTCTGTTATTTCTGAAGACTGAAGAACAGAGTCCAGCATAGACTGTCCGTTGTCCTTTCTCTCCTCAGACTGAAATCATCACGTACTGGGGCTACCCGAGTGAGGAGCACGTGGTCCAGACAGAGGACGGGTATATTCTGAGTCTTCACCGAATCCCTCATGGGCGGAGCAACCATTCTGAGAGAGGTATGGAGTTCTCTATGGCAAGATGTAACAGTTTTTGGAAATCACCACATTGTCTGAGTTAGTGACCAAATTCAGGCTTCATTTGATAATGTTGCTACAGGACAGACTGGAAGCCAAATTACCAGCTAAGCTAGGCTGGCTTGCCTAATTTCATAGTTTGTACTGGATTCAAAGGTCAGATTCCATGTAGAGTGTCAAAATTCTACTTCCATTGTTTCTCAAGGCATCATTTATCCAATGAACTTTTCTGTGCCTTAAAAAGATGCATTTTGCAATTTTAAAATTACTGAATTTGTTGAAAAGGTAATATATTCAAATTCTGTAATATATTCAAGTAACATATATATAATATACAAATAATATATGCAAAAATAAAAAATATACAGTAAATCCTCCTTTTTCTATCTTACTTTCTGTTTTTTAAAGTGTTCTTATATAATATCTTCATTTAAAATCTTTGTACCTTCCAGACATTCACTAGAAACCAATATGGATTGTTTTTATGTTGCCACCTTTTAAATTCAAAAGTTGTTATAAAGGGCACAGTGTTTTATTATTTATTCAAAAGTTGTTATAAAGGGCACAGTGTTTGGTTATTTATTGATTTATTTGCTGTCAGCAGGCTCACAAAAGCTGGATTTATTTACCATCACAGAAATCTTCACAATAATTCATAGAACCCTTACCTGAAGATAAGTGTATTCCATTGTATGTTTGTATCCTGATTTGCTTAACAAGTGTTTAAGTGAACATTAACTTAAGTGTTCTGTTAATGAACATTTCGGCTAATTTGAATTTTCACCTAATAAATATTGCTGCTGAAAACAATAAAACAAAACAAACAAACAAATAAAAAAACCAAGCATATATATTGTGTAAGTTTATTTAGAAGATAAATTTTTTTCCCAGAGAACTTTGAAGTCAGAAGATACGTGAATTGTGTTTTTGACAGGCTTTGGGGAAATTGCTCTTGATGGATGCGTGTATTGACTGAATTTTGTTAGGAGGATATAAAAGTTCTTATAGATTTGCTTTAAACATATGGACCTTGGCATATATTTATATCTTTCTTTGATCAATTTATAACGCAAGCAAAACTGTGGTCCTGATGTAAATGATGGCATTTCTAGACAAACTACCCGAAAGTGGTAACAGCCGTCAAGATAATAGGTCTGCCTTCAGTCGTCTCTTGAGATATAGCCTTGGAAAAATAAGGTCTGGGCTAAGGTCATTGGCTGGCTGTCCCTCCTGTTAGGGCTTTTACCAGACAGAGAATGTTCTTAGCCTCACATACTTCTCAAGGGATTCTTCAGAGCAGACAACAGATCCTGGTCGAATGTGAGTGTTGCATCAACATCTGCCTTCCGCTTCTCCTGGGTCACATGCTATACCTATTGTCTTTCCCCTCAGGCTCTGCCTATCACAAGACACTAAATTATGCTCATGTGGCTATGGCGGTGATTTTGCTTTAGTGTTTATAGCTCTATACTATCGTATCTCCCTCGTGAATCTTTTGCAAAATGAATGATGAATGTATTGATCTGTGTTGACTGCTCGCAAACACATAAAGTATATATTTTATGCAAGAGCGAGCATGGGATTTTCGTGAGCATCTTTCCTCCCCCCCCCCTTTATTTTGGTACCCGTACACAGGTTTTAGACGATATCTAAAGACAAATAAGTATGGATATTATTTCCAAGAAAGTACTTAGTCAATTAGTAATTACTAATATGATCCATTGTTCAGAGGTCCTAGGTCAAACCATGCCGAGAGAATGCACCACCTCTGTTTCTCCATCGACTCCCACTTCTGTCTCCACGCTGCTCTCCACTGTAGTTAAAGCACACAGGGCGCACACACATCACACTGCGTCAGGTGGAGGTGCTTCCTGCGAAGGAAGGTGTTCCCTCAAACAAAGAGACTGCAGTCTTTGGCTGGTCCCTTGCAGGCTGGGGAAGTGGATACTCTTGTCTTCAGAATTCGGACCACAGACCGAGAATGTTCTTGGCCAAATCTGGCTTTAGATTTAGGTTCCCATCTTCCTTCACTGTTCGGAGGAGCCCCCACCCTCCCCTGGGGAGGTCAGTGATCTGTGCATTTACCAGCGAGCCTCAGAGGGGGTTTTCCCGAGTACTGTGACTCGGTTCTCTAAAGGAGTTGTTATTTTCCCAAGAACTGCATAGATATTTTCCCTATGGTTTGCTCTCTGTAGTCCAAGTCCAAGTAGGACAGCAGCTCTTTCTTTTGTCTGTTGAGGACCAGTGTGCTGGCAGTGATGTTAATCTGCCATGTTGAAAGTCAAAAAAGCGGAAGAGAATACACACTCTCCCAAATGGCACCAATCTCGTGAATGCCACTTCCCTTCTGACTTACTATCAATAGCACCACTGTCCTTCCAATGACCTAGACAAGAAATTGCAAAGTCATTTTCGTTTTGTTTGGCAGGCTGAGGGTTGAGCCCAAGTCCTCCTGCATTCTAGGCAAGTGCCGCTGCCAGACTATATCCACAGCCCGTACAGAATTGTTCTTGATGCATGGTTTCTAGATCACCCACAAAATTTCCCTTGTTAATTCCTTTCTCCCTTGTTTTGACCATACCTCACTTTAGGCCCTTGCTGCCATTCAGATAGGCACCAGAGACAAGGCAGAAACTGAGAGAATCTTGAATAACTCACTTTTTTGAGGAGAGGGGGTGGGGTCCCCATGTACCAGAGAAAAAGAATCTCAAAGCAGGAATATGGAAATACAATATTATGTTTTGTGAAATTATTGCTTTTACCATATGGAAAGTAATTTCGTATAGCCTTTTTATTTACAGTTAATTATAAGATGCATTAAAAATATTTGTTTATTGAGGTGACATTCTTGGGGAGCACTCCTTTACAGATAAGCGACGAGTGGGCTCTGTAGACAGTATGAATAGCTTCACTGGGGTGTCAGGTTCTGTGTGAACACAGGGTTCTGCCCATGTCCGACTGTCAGCTCTGCTGTCTGCTGCCTCCTGTGCCAACCTCTATGTCTTCCTCTGTCCTACGTAGGGTCTGTAGATGAAGATTCTTAAAGCCTCACTAGTGTGTGATGTTGCGAGGCGGCAGTCTTTATGAATCCAATAGATGAAGATACACTTGTCTGTACTTTTCACCCCATCCAGAGCAAGACTTTTGTATTTGTGACTATTGGAGAGATGCCTGTAATTTTCCATCTAAATTACATTTATTTGATGTGTGCATACGTGTGTGTGCACACGTGCACATGCACGTGTATATGTTCTAATGAATGCCAGAGGAGACATTGGCTAGTCTTCTGTCACTCCCTACCCTAGTCCTTTGAGACAAGGTCTCTCACTGAGCCTGGAGCTAGCCTGGCAGCCAGCAAGTCCTAGCAATCCTCCTGTCTCCATCTCACATTCTGTTAGGTTTCATATGTAGGTGGTGAGGGATTTGAACTCAAATCCTCACAGTGTCACAGAAAGTACCCTTTCCCACGGAGGCGTCTTCCCACTCTTAAGCAGCCGTTCTTACCAGCAGTTGAGCCACCACTCTGCTAAGTGCTTAAGGGAACTGAAATACAGAAATGAAATATCATACAGAGAAGTGGTTTTGTTTTTATCTGCTCAACCTTCATGCTGAGTGTTAATGCTCCAAGGCCCTCATTTCATGCTTGGACTAAGAATTTGAAAAGCTTGTACCTTTGTAACATACTCCTGGCAGACTTCAAGATATCTAAATTTTTGTGTTCTTGAACTATACACTCATTTCCTGCTCAGGACAGCCAAGGCAAAGGGCACTCACTTGGGCATTTTGACTGCAGAGGCAGTGTTCCTTGAATTGACAGTGTGCCCTTATTAATAAGTATTGAGCAAGCTGATCCCATGATAAGCATAATATAAACTTTATTTAGCTACAACAAGGAATTACTACTTGTGCCAGCATTAGAAATAAAATAAACAAGGTAGATATTTTCACTAAGTACCTAACTGAGAAACCAGCAAGGTTTTAAAAGAGAACCTTATTTGCACCTGAAACCTTATTTTGCATCTGCTGGCCTGGTTTGCGAGGGGCGTCCTGGGCCCTGAAGACCTGGAGACTACAGGCAACATTCAGAAGCAGGTTTCTCAACTGTGGCCTGGGCATGGTCTCCCCAGAGGGTTGCTCCCCAAGCTGGTTGAGTCATAGGCGAAAGTTCACATTATGACTTGTGAGTTTTCTTCCACAGAAAAGCCTCCAGGCCTTGGTTTTTATTTGGTTATCTATGTTAGCATCCTGACCCATCCTAGGTTTTTCTTTCCTGAGAGAAACCGTTCCCTTGAAAGAAATCATTTGTAGATTTCTGGCTTTATTTGATTTAATTAATTAATTAATTAATTTTTAATAATCACAGTTTCAGTAGGCCTACATACTCTGGCATGTAGTTCCTTGTGCCAGAGGCACTGAGCACATGCAGGTTGAGCTGAGCGCGTGCCCAGGCTTGCTGAGCTTCTGCTTGGTGCATTGGATAGAAGATTGCACTTGGATCTTTGGAACTAAGCAACGTCATAGTGGTAGCTGCAAGGTTTGCCTCCCATACCCTGGTTGAGGTTGGGGCAAAGACGACATGCAGCACAGGGGAGCCTGTGCTGTGGCTCGCCTGCCCCCTCCTTCTTGTCTAGCTGCTGCTAAATACCGTGTATCTGGGAGATGTCCCCAGACAGGCCCCTGGGGCTGTATCTTCTGTGCTTGTTTAACAGCAGCTGGGTCAACAATAGCTCACATGGATGATGCCATATGTAAATACGGCCTTCCCCGAGGGGCTAAGTGCAGTGGGAGCCCTGTGCAGGCCAAAGTCTTCTGTGACTCATTTACTTTGAGTATCCCTGAGTACTTCTTTAGCCCTTTAGGGACTGGGGCGAGCAAAGCGCTGAGACTCTGAATGTTCCTTGTTCTACGTCACATTTGGGTCAAGGTTTCCCTTTCTTCCAAACTCAGAGGCTGGACAAAATCTATGGGCTTACTGTGTGTGT